TCCTGCAAAGACGAACCAATACCTGTCAGCGCATCCTCGTCCCCCAGGATGTCCCACTCGACACCATCGGCTACCTCATCATCGTCGCCATCATCATCATCATCATCGGTGTTGGTGTCCTCCCCCATTCTCCCGCCAATAGCTTCCACTGCCTCTTTCTCTTCTTGTCCTCCTTCGCCTTCCTCAGCCGCTCACCTTCGGCGTGATTCGCCACCCTCACGGATGAATCCCTCGGCAATGGAGCCGGTGATCCGTGAAGATGTGGTCCCTCGGCTGGTCCCACCCCTCTCAAAGTTAGTATCAAGAGGTCAGGAAATCAACTGAAAAGGATGTATGAGGAGAGGGAACTTACAAAGATGACGTGGCCTGATTTCAGCCACAACGGAGGATGCCTCGGCACCGGAAGATGAAATCGAGGGGGGCACCCACGTCGTCCCATGAGGGCTCCATCGCCTCCTTGATTCATTGTGTGATCTCGGCTGGTCCCGCCCCTCTCAAAGTTAGTATCAAGAGGTTAGAAAATCAACGGCTTGAAGCGGGAGCGCACGCATCATCAACGGTGCCACCCTCCTTGCGTGGTCGGCTCCAATGACGCCCGACCCCTTCAAGCCGTTCTCCTTGAGGATCTAGATGGCGGCGATGTGGTCTCAGATTTTCTTCTTGTCCTTCTCCGGGATGCCCCACTTCCTCCATGACTCTAGGGGCCTCTTCAATCAGGCACCCGGTGAACTCCGGTAGAGGGGTGGTGGCGGCGTTCTTGAGGTAGAACCACTGCGAGTGTCACCCCTTGTTGGACGTTGATAGCCGCATCGATGGGTACTCGCCGACCCGATTGTTCAAGAGTTGGATGCCGACGCACCCCATCGGCATGTGCAGCTCCAGCCTATCGCTCTTCTCCCTCTTCTTCTGGAGGGTGATGGCGAAGAAGTGCCTCCACAGATCAAAGTGGGGGCTGATCCCAGGAATCCCTCGCACAGGGCAACGAACGCCGCCATGTGCTGGATCCCATTGGGGTTGAGATGTTGCAGCTTGATCTTGTAGTAGTGCAATAGTCCCCGGAGAAATCTATGGGCGGGGATCGCGAACCCACGCTTGTGGAAGTGGGTGAACGACACCATGTAGCCATCGGGCGGCGACGACACGTCCTCCTTGCCGGGTAGCAGCCACTCCTCGGCCGTGGTCCGCGTGCGGAGAATACCACAATGGACGAGGCCCTCCATGCGCTGGAAGGTGATGTCAGAGTGGCACCATAGATCCATTGGAAGATGGGGGCGGTGGATGCGAGCTTCAATGGTGGTGGGGACGTGGATGCAAGAAGCCTAAGCGATTGGCGGCGGAGGTTGTAGATGCGGAGGCAAGGAGGCAAGGTATGGAACCCGAGGGTGAATCCTTTGGTTTTATAGGGGCAACGGGCGCGAGGAAACCAACCACCCACCTAGTTCTCCACGCCTGCCACGATCTACCACAATGTCTCACCATGGGACATGCACACGCAATCTCTGTCTGCTCCCTCGAAAAACTTGCCGGACGTTTTGCCTCTCTGCAGACGGGCCACGACTCGTCACAAGTACGAGGAATATGGATCTAAAAACACCTCTACGGCCCGTCTGGGCCTAGGAGTTCAAGGTTGGCCCATCGACGGGATCAACAACCGCTTCAAGCACCTTCAAGGTAAGGAAGTAGAAAGGGATGGGCCCACTAGCGACTAGCACCCAAGCGCACAAGCGCTACGCAGGCATCCAGGCCCACATTCGAGTCTCGATCAGATATGATCCATGGTTTTTCCTTGAAGAAAAGCCGAGAGCCCTCGGGACCGGTCGAACGGACCTCGAGAACTATATGGAGTGACCGCTGAGAATCTGAAGTCGGTCATCAGCTGACCTTAAGTCGGATCCCCACGAATGGGATGTCGGGGCTCCAATCAGGAAAGACCTTTTCCAACCCACCAAATCTCATAGCCGTACCCATGAAGGGTCCGATCTTGACGGAGGGGAATCACCGTCCACAGGTCACACCATAGGCGACAAAAGAAGGCAAGGCCCTCAGAGTCCTCCCTCATTCGATAAAGCCTCCAAGAAGTATTCTACTCCTCCGAAGGCTTGGGGACAACTGTCGGGGACCAGTACTAGGGTACCCAAAGAGGAGGGGCTAATGGTCATTAAACATTAATTCATCCAGATAGTCAAGGGCGTGACTACAGATCCAACCAACCCCTAGGTACGCAGGCTCCGCCTCGCGCCAACCTCTAGGGACGGGCTCTGCCTCGACCGATACCGAGGCCACGGGCTTCGTCTCGCCCGACCTCGGAGGGCTGGCTCCGCCTCGCCCGATGTCTGAGGGCAGCCTCCACCTCACCTGATGTCCGAGGGTGGCCTCCGCCTCGCCCGACGGAGACCCATACCGCCGCCAACCACTCCAGGTCCCAGCGAATAGGTCTGGGTCAAAGCTCTGACACTAGAGAGGTGACCGACACGCCCCAACACAACTCGTGGCCGTGACGTGTCATACCGGTGCTGTTCTGCCTAACCCTCGTACGAACACTGACGGGCACGTTAGTTTGCCACAACGTCCGCCAGGATGGAGTGGAGCGCTATGACCGGCGGACGACGTCTGCGCGTGGCGCTAGTGACGGATAGGGCCGCGACGTGAACCTGTCCCTGTTGACGTCTACAGGGTCGGTGGGACCCACATGGAGGAGAAAAAGGACCCGACAATCTTGAAGGACTTCCTCTCTCTCCACTGTAACCCTGTTTTCCCTTGGCCTATAAAAGGGAAAGGAGGACGTCCCATAAGGGGCATCGAAACTACGGGGATCATCGGACGATCGACTCATCTGATCATCTGACCGACAAACCCATCGAACCTCCAACACACAGCCGAGTAGCGACCGACCTCTCGGCACACATTCGTTCTTTCCACTAGAGACTTGGGACATGTCCCTCTCTCGTCCGTTTGAAACCCCTACTACGAACGCTCAGTGCTAGTAACACGAGCAGCAACAACGAACTAGACGTAGGGACATTCTGCCCGAACCAGTATAAACCTCGTGTCCTCTTAGCACACCATCCGAGCCAGACACGCAATATTAGAAATTTACTCGTTGGTGTTTACTCGAAACACTGACAGTAGTGTATTTCAACAGTTGACCTTGTGTCCCGGAATTAAATAGATCCAACGAAAACCTATTTTCATGGTCCAGTCACTCTTTCGAAAATACTGTATGACACTTGTATTGTATTGTAAATCCTTGGGTTGAATTCTACAGGTTTAATTACTATAATAGCAATCAGTGCTGGTTTTGTCCTATTGTTTTCACTTCTTGGTGTTGCAAAAATCACTAAGAGATTCAAACAACAAAAGGCCAAGAAGCTGAGAGAAAAGTTTTTCAAGAGAAATCATGCATTGCTTCTCCAACAGTTAATCACCTCAAATAAAGATATAGCTGAAAGGTTGAAGATTTTTAGCTTAGAAGAATTAGAACAAGCAACAAATGATTTTGACCAGAAACGCATCCTAGGAGGCGAGGCCATGGCACGGTGTACAAAGGGATCTTATCTGATCAACGTGTTGTGGCTATCAAGAAGTCCAAAATTATAGTTCAAAAGAAATTGATCAGTTCATAAATGAGGTCGTCATACTTTCACAAACTAACCATAGGAATGTGAAGCTATTTGGTTGTTGCCTTGAAACAGAAGTTCCTTTGTTGGTATATGAGTTCATATCCAATGGATCTCTATCGTATCATCTTCATGGCCAAAGTGAAAATCCTTTGTCTTGGAAAGATAGACTGAGGACAGCACTGAAATTGCAAGAGCAATCGCATATCTACACTCCGCTGCTTCCGTGTCAGTTTTTCACAGAGACATCAAATCTACAAATATACTACTTACTGATATTTTGACAGCAAAGTTATCAGATTTTGGAGCTTCAAGATCAATTTCAGTAGATGAGACAGGAGTACTTACAGCTATCCAAGGAACTCATGGTTACCTTGATCCTGAATACTACTATACTAGCCGACTCACAGAAAAGAGTGATGTTTATAGCTTTGGTGTCATCTTGGCAAAACTACTAACAAGGGTTAAATCAGTTTTCTCTTCTCATTCATCAGAGGGTGCAAGCCTAGCATCATACTTTGTGTCGCTGATAAGAGACAATCGCTTGTCGGATATTCTAGATTCACAAATTGTTGAAGAGGGAGGGACCGAAGATGCCAAGGTTGATGCAAGGATTGCAATGGCATGCTTAAGCTTAAAAGGTGAAGAAAAACCTACAATGAGGCAAGTAGAGACAACACTGGAAGATGTCCAAAGCTCAAAGGTCCATCACAATTCTCGGATTCCAAGAGTGAGTCAAAATGTCCCAAAAGTTGAGTCACACAACGGAAATAAAGGTACTAGACTCTTCAGCTTGGAGAAAGTGTTCATACAATCATCCGAAATTCCAAGATGACTTTGGATTTCATGCATCATGTAAGTTATCTAGCACTCTCTATGACATATTGCAAAGTGGGGTGTCAATTAGGTATTCTGATATATATATATATATATATATATATATATATATATATATATATATATATATATATATATATATATATATATATATATATATATATATATATACATATATACTTGTGCACCTCCAAAGTACCAATGGTCGATGTAGAATGAAGAACTTTGTAGTAAATAGACGAATTCAAATATAGTCTCTACTCTTATAACACCTAATATTTATCGCTGCAAAAGAAATTTTCTGTAAGATCTATCTATTGTACTCCCATATTTTTTTCATGTACACAAATATTGTTGGGTTTTCGGTATCCAATACTTCAGAATTCACATTCTATTACTGAATTTGCATCACATGGATCTGAAGAATTCTACTAGATACAAACATAGCTGTGATGTACTCCTGTTGGATGCACTTCCCATGACAGAAAATCCTGCACCGGAAATTTTAACAGTGCAATGGATGAACACAATGACAATTCAATCCATTTATGGTTTTGTCATCTTGGCAAGTGCAGAAAGTGAAGCGACTGCTTCGGCAGTGGTCAGATACAAGCAATCTGGCCTAAAATAGTTTTGAGCCTCGTTTGCTCGTTGTATTTTCTCCATGACCTCTCCAGTAGGATTGACAAGCACAAGCTGCAACACAATAAAAAGTTAGTTTGACATTCAAAAATCATTTTCACTTTTTATAAGAATAATTGAAGTTTCATATCTGAAGAGCATACCTCCAGACCACGTTTCTCTATTGATTTCTTTATGTCAATGAGGAACGCTATGCCACTTGTGTCAATAGCAGGAACAGCTGAAAATATAATTTCTATTTGTTAATAAAAAACAGAAAATATTATAAACTATTTTGCACACAAGTATTTTTAATACATTGCAGACATTACATCTTCTTTGTTTCTGGTCTAAAATAAAACTTTCCAAACTTACTGTTAGCTAACACTTGACAACTAGCAAAGCAAATTTTGCATAATGACAAGCTAATTCAGAACTATTTGTAACTGTTATTTTTCCTCTATTTTTTAAAAAGCACAAATTTTATTTCACAAAATAGTTCCAATGAACAATGCCGGATAGTTGCGTTTTCTCTATCTTATTGACACGCAGTTCTTCTGCGTGTTTGAGAAAAAAAATATGCCATATATCCTGTAATAAGTCACTGACCTGACAGATCCAAGATTATGAAATGGAGTTCAGTATGTTTATCCTGTTCAAAAGATTCTTCCTCTATCCATCTTTTAATCCTGCAAATGGAAATAACAAATATATATTTGTCAACTTGTTCTCTATGTTTACCATGCAAGTGAAATGCTAGAATACATACTGAATTGTAACGAAATTGCTGTTACCTTTCATTCAGGTAGTTGCAGTTAGCGAAGTTTATTGGTGCTTCAATGGCCAAGATCAAGAACCCGGAAACTCTTTGGGCCTCCTTGTAGTGATGTAGGTCCCTGTAAATATCAGTCCCCTTGATGTTCCCTTGAACCATCATCTTTGGCCTTGTGATCTGCATCAATACCCTAAATATAGATATACCAACCTGCATTTTTTATAAAAATAAATGTGAGCACCAAGCAAATAGAGCATGCACATTGAAGCACAGCTGGTATACGTACCGCTATTGCCAGGCCTTCTTGGACTGAGATGAAGATGACGCCGGCAAATGCACAAACACACACCAGAAAATCCATCTTGTCCATCTTCCAGATGTGGTACACAGCAGGCAAATCAATCAGACCGATAACCGCAGCGATAATGATTGCTCCAAGAACAACATTGGGAGTATACACAAACAATGGCATGAGGAACAGCAGCGTGACCATCACAGTCAGTGCCATGATCACATTGGACATGGCAGTCTTGCAGCCGGCATTGTGGTTTACAGCAGAGCGGGAAAACGCTCCTGATGAAAAATAAGACAGAGCCAATGATCATTCCCTGTCTTGGTATTGATCCTAGAAATTTACCAAGAATCTGATCGAAGATTGGACATGATTTGGCAAGCCAAAAAAAAAAACTGTACCTGTTGTTACGTAGCATGATGTACATGACCCAACAACGTTCATCAGCCCTATGGCCATCATTTCTTTGTTCCCATCTACTTGGTAGCCCCTAATTGAGGCAAATGTTCTACCAACTGCTATTCCCTCCTGCAGTGGTGAAATTACATCCGCATTCCATTAGCAGTGAGCCAGTGCTACTTGGATGAAAAATAACTGAACTGCTTAATTCTAGCGAAATAGTATGATGTGATATGTTTGTCTCAGAGATTTGTCAAGCACAATGCTCGATTAAGATAAAAAAAACAAAACGATGGTAAGCCATACCGTAAGAGAGATGATTCCAGTGACAAGGCCAGTCTTCATGGTGAGGCCTAAATATGTTGTGTCAAACAGTAGCTTGTCCCATGAGGGGTGATTCAGGCCACACTTGAGCTGCCCGATCTGTGGTGAAAAATAAAAAAAAAAAAATCTTGATTGTCATCTTGTTGCAAAGACAACAAGCAAAACAAAATTCCTTTCAGATGTTTCAGTTCTTACGATGCTAATGCCATGATTCTGAGCTTTGAAGAGGTAAACAAGCAGGGTCGAGATGATGACAGATGCGAGGGGCGCGCATGCTGAAACCCAGAAAAGTTTTGGCCATCTTATGCTCTGCATACAAGGACGACGAGGTGGAAAATGTGTCACTGCAGATGGACTGCATCAAGAATGTAGATGAGACTCTGAAATCAACTTTTTCTCTGACGCCACAATCATTACAGAACAATCAGCAGACAGCTGCGTCACTTATGCATTCTGCTAACACAGTTCCAAGCTTGCAGAGGGCATGTTTAGCAATCAAAATCTCGGCCACGACCAACATATATGGCTAGCAAAATTTCACACAGAACACGAACAAAGTTCTGCCGATACTCTGTTCAATTCACAGCAAGACGCCCACACACATGATATGTTACAGAACAGAGTAGATCAGACAATGTGCTACGTAAGATGCAGGGAATGATTTGCTAGTTGGAGTGGAGTATATAATCAGGTGATTGAATACGAATTAAAATCATTGTGGCCTTAGAGGCACAATGCTAGCCTAATAAAGGGCGCTAGATTTAGTGCTAGATTCAGCTGTCTGTGGGTTCGGTTGGACAGGTTAAGCATCATTCAGAAAGATATATAGTTTGGTCTACCGATCGACGTCATAAAACTCCACATATATATCTGCAAGTACGGCATAGTTGTCCTCACATACATGATACATCTGACATACATGCATTGGTACAAATCAATTGCCGACGTGCCGTCCATTGTTCACTCGTGAACAGACCACTACGTACGTATTGCCATTGCTGATATCACAGTACTGCACTGGTAGCTTCCAACGTTGCCAATACGTAGCAAACTTTGGATCCACCACAACACGCACCGGTCCAAATGGGTCTATATATATATATATATATATATATATATATATATATATATATATATATATATATATATATATATATATATATATATATATATATATATATATATATATATATATATATACGGTAAGACTATTCTGCAGCTGGCCACAGAATTACTTATTCTATGGCCACCTTGATTTACGATAATGTTTGTACCAATTTACGATAATGACAATACACATTTACGATATATGGGTTACTATAATTCAATACGATACTTACCATAATGCTATAGTAAATCACTTATGAGGGAGTTACCATAATCTCGTAAATTAGTATAGTAAAGTGGTCACAGAATAACTTATTCTGCGGCCAGCTCCAGAACCGTACGTGTATATATATATATATATATGTGTGTATATATATATTGCCGGTTTTGGACATGATGTTTTGACCATTAGCTTTTGGAGTAGTATAGCACAGTAGCATGTGTTGCCGGCTGTAGGCGATGAGATTCCGTGGATCAGATCTGACTGAAAAATGATACGCAGATCCTTCCAATGCACGGTCAGATCGATACAGAGCGATCATTTCATCCATGACTACTGCATCTGCATGCATGGCTATCTTGCCCGCCCCGGCCCCCGGGCACTACTCCTTGTCCCCAGAATCTTCTTCTGCCGTGGGGTTCTCAAGCTAACGATCGCCAAGCTATAGCACTAGCACACGACCCACACACGTACAACCTCCTGTAGCTAGGTTTGTAGCCGCCTGTTGCCGTGCCACCTGACGGCCCCTGATGAGGACCTAGGGCACTAGTGTGTGCCGTGTGCGAGTGCGACAGCCACAGCAAAATAAACAAGCAGAAAGGCATGCAAACGCAAAAACGCATGCTACTGGTACTACTAGCTGTGTGGGCTACTAGAGCGGCCAACGGTGCTGAACAGGGCCACGTACGTACGAATACCAGAAAACGACACTAGTCGTCGTCAAACCTGCAGCGGGAGGCCGGTATGTACATGTATGTACGACAAGAGGGAATTTATAAAGAGTAGTTCAAAAAGAGAAATTGGTTGTACGTACCACATGCCTCGCCGACAGCAGGAAGACGAGGAAGCAGACACCCATGAGAATCGTCTGCCACGACCACTGCACACGCAAGCATACAACAAACACGTACACGAGCCCGTTAGTTGCATTGGCTAGCTAAGGCGGCGGCCGCCCGCACGCTCGGCGTCGGCGAATGGCCAATGCATGCGCGCGCGCACCTCGTTGGTGTGGTGGAAGACGGAGGCCATGACGGGGACGATGCCCATCTCGGTGGTGAAGTGGACGATGCCCAGCAGCGCCTTGAGCTGCTGCAGCGCCACGATGATGGCGGCGCCCGCCATGAACCCCACCAGCGTCGCCTTGGACAGGAAGTCGATGACGAACCCTAGCCTGAGGATGCCCAGGGAGGCCTGCACCAGCCCCGCGAAGAAAGTGGAGGTGAAGGCCAGCTGCAGGAACAGCAGCGGCTCCGCGGTGGGGCTCACGGCCTGACGCAGCATGGACCCCATGATCAGCGACGCGATCGACACCGGGCCCACCGCCAGGTCCCGAGAGCTCCCCAGCACCGCGTACACCATCGGCGGCACGAAGCTCGAATCTGCATATGCATGCATGGCTCCTTCTGCTCATCACTTGAAATTACAGATAGATACTAGATAGAGACGCCAGCAGGTATACAGATACGTACACAGCCCGATTATGGGAGGCAAGCTTGCCAGCTTCGCGTAGCTAATGCCCTGCAGAGCCAAATAGAACCGTGTGTGCATGCGTGCAGTTGGGATTAATTAATGATTAATGCAGTACGAAAACAGTTGGCACAAAGTACTAAATAGCTCCAAACAAGCTTGCAAATACACAGAAACTGCAGTAAAGAAACGTATACAGCTGGACTAGCACAGCAGTTCCATTGACCGTCTGAAACGGCAGGGGGGGGGGGGGGGGTGGCGAGATCCCATTTTGACTGCAAACATGCACTGTGGGAGAAGAAGCTAGCTAGTAACCATGCAAAGCATCGATAGATGCATGGAGAAGATGCTGCTTGCCTGAGGAATGGCGAGGCTGGCAATGGTGAGACCGGCGACGAGGTCGGACTTGAAGAGCGAGAAGGAGTAGCTCGGCACCCAGTCGAGGATGGGGAAGAGGTACCTGACCGCCATGAGCCACTGCGTCCCCAGCGGCTGCCCCTTGAACGCCCGGAACGGGTCGTCGGGGAAGAAGGTCTCCTTCACCCTCGCCTTCATCTTGCTCGCCGTGCTCTGCGCCGGCGGTGGCGCCACCTTGTGAACTGCCATCGCCGCAATCTCCTGCTCTGTCACCGGAGCCGCCGCCATGCCGCCTCCATGCGGCCGGCTCTTGCTGTCATTGTAAGCACCACCACCACCACCGTAGGCACCTCTCATACCCACCATGTGTGTAACAGAGAGGTGACTGCTGCTTACAGCCTACAAGAGGAAGATGGGCCGTATTGGTAGCTCACTAGCTCCTCCGGCGTCCAAGTCCAAGGTAGATATAAAGGAGAGGAAGAGGCCGCTATATTGCAGCTTCAAAAGAAGAAGAAAAGCGGTACGCAACTTGAGAAAGGAAGAGAAGAGAGGGAACCAAAGGCGACACAAGGGGTAGGGTTGGTGTCCAATAATTAGGCTCTCTCCAACAGGAGATTCATTGTGGAATCCAAACCCAAAATAGGTCTCCAACATAATACATATAACATCTAACAAAGTACCTATATGAAAGACTCATTTTAGGTTTCAGGAGAGGCATAACATAAATTTGAGTATCCTCTCTCCTGGAGACCTATTTGCAGAGAGAGTTGTTTTTTAGGTCTTGTTGTTGGAGAAGACTAAAAATATGTATTAAGCCCTTTGTGTGTAGCGCTATCAAAAGACGAATGGGCCTTATATTTTGGGTCACGGTTGTTTGAGACAGCCTTAGTTGGAGCGAGGCATGCATGTAAATTGGCAGTTTTCTCATGGACGGGATTCCATTCCGTGGATTTGATACCACCCCACCATCGCTTGTGATGACACATGACAGAGAAACAAACCATCCACACCACCACTTTTACTTGCTTTAATTTAACACCACCATTGCATGATCTCATATATTCGCAAAGTAGGGACCGGACCCATGCAGCACTAATATATTCCTTGGTGTCTACATGTGCAGCATAGAAAGAATTAAAGATTCACGCACATAATTGATCGTTTGACCTATAGAGCATGATCATCTAAATTCATCAGTATTATTGCTGCACACACTCTAGTGGCCTAACTTGATGTGGCACGGAGAATGAGAGGAATTTCACGCTTGTCAATTTCAAATGTTGCACGCGTACACGTATATGTTGAGTTTCTGACATGCTACATAGGGGTGCGTGCCAAGGGTCAAACTATATATCGCACCAAACATTAGGTGTGTTATAGGGGATTTATTCATACAGACTATAGGACTGATCACTGAAATCCCAGTAGGGGGCAGGGGCAACACCCCTCCTGTTCCCCTAAAAAAACTGATCATGCTTGCGCCCGAAAAGGATATACAATTCTTTGGAACATTGAGAATTAATCTCACTATTACTAATGAGAGACAATGTTTAGAGGCTCCATGCATGTTAATTCTAACAAACCATATGGCCATCGAGTTTCGAGTTTGTAGACTTGACAACAATAACTTTTTTTTTTGACAAACTTGGCAACAATAACTGTTAGATCCAATTTACTTCTAAATGACAAAAGCACATACATTTGCCAGTGTGCTCACTGCTGGTGCGAGTTTGATTCCTAGAAATCGCACTCGCATCTTTCACCAAAACTTGTTAGCCTCTCTCACATGGAGCCATAAAAAGATTATGACGATGTCGCTTATGGGGCTAAGGATGGTCCCAATGATCTCTGGAAGGATGCAGTCTACTGATTTGTATGTAGTTATAGGTCGATCTAGTTGTGCATGTGGTGTGAGTGAGTATCATGGGCATGTATTCATACATGAACATATGCCACAGTTGCATCCAGATGAGAGGCTTAAAAAAACTAAACCTCCTTCTAAATTATCCAGCATAATCTAAAGTACCTAATCCAACATCTCAATTGCACATATATGCCATTATTATTATTAAAAATAAACTAAAGCAATCCCTAAATCTGCACCTAAACTATCCACAAATGTCATTATGGAAACAAATAACCCAAAGTATTTCATAACGCGTAGCTTAACTACTCGCTTTTGTTAATATATTATAAAAAAGAGCTAAAAGTACATATGTAAGATGTGTGCTACCATAGAACACATATACTAGCATAGTTCCACGCGGGGAGCGATGAGCTTTACATGGTTTAGCGATCATAAAAGGTGTTTCCTTAATGAGTTACATATTTACAAGGTGAATCATATTAGTACTTCCATAAAAAATATGTAAGTTGCTACTTTTAAATAAATTGATTATGTTTTTTTCCAAAACATTATAACATATTTGCGTAGACAGTTTAATGGTAAGCACTCTGTTTTTTTTTCTTTCTAAAAACATTCATGCTTGTCTCATCTGACCATCGTCCAAAACTAAGCAAACGCTATGTGAGACAATGACGCAATTTTGAAGGGGTCGGTGACTATGGTGAGACAAATATATATAAGTTCAGGGTCCAAGGTGACAACTATATATGCAATCAAGAGGTTGATGAAAGAAATTGCAAATTTAGGGGGCTCGGAGAGATGGCTGCACAAGTTCAGTTCAGGGACCTCCTATACAATTTTATCAAAGAAGAAATAATACCGAAATTTGAGTTGAAGATGGCTTGTGAATGGGTGTTGTGCATATATACTTACATCGGTAATGCTCTCTACCAAGCATCGGTTTGGCGAACGCGTGCCTTCGCTGGGATGACCATGTCCGATCGGCCCGTTATTACAAAAAATCTATACGCTTCCATCGGGAAGGAACCGCCTCGTGCCACGCGCCCCTGCACATCGCGCCTCGCCCCGGACCCGCTTCGCGCCGCGCGCCCCTACGCCTCACGCCTCATGCCGGACCTGCCTCGTGCTACGCACCACACCCGTGCCTGCCTCGTGCCTCGCGCTAAGCGCCGCCCGCGCCTCGTGCTACGCTCCCTCGTGCCCGCATCAATGAGCCTTCATTGTGCGGCAACAAGTAGATGAGCACATGTTGCAATCATATGTTTCATGAGTTTCATATGTATGTTGCTTATGTTTCATTTGGATGTTGCAAAAGTAGATCTGGTGTTACATATGTTGTAATGGCTATACAAGTGTGTTGCAAGTGTATTGTTCAAATATTTCAGCTATTTCAAACGTATATTGCAAGTGTTTCATCAGGATGTTGCATATGTTGCAGTAGCTATACAAATATGTTGCAAGTGTGTTCTCCAAATGTTTCAGCTATTTTATCTGGATGTTGCATGTGAAAGGATCAAGATGACCAAGAGGGGGGTGAATTAGGCTAATTCTAAATTTCTTTGCAATAAACAAGTCCTATAGTTAGCCCAATTAACCCATTGTGCCTAGAGAAGTGTTTATATTGATCTAACGCACAAAAATTTAGCAACCTAGTTCCAATCCTACTTTAGCATGGCAATTCTAGGAATGTAAATGACAAGAATTGAAATTGCTCAAAGTAAATGCTCAAAGTAAAGAGAGGAGAGGAAACACGGCAATATTTTGCTGAGGTATCGGAGAGTCGTCACTCCCCACTAGTCCTCGTTGGAGCACCCGCACAAGGGTGTAGCTCCCCCTTGATCCACACAAGGATCAAGTGCTCTCTACGAGTTGATTCTTCGACACTCCGTCGCGGTGAATCACCCACAACCGCTCACAACTTGAGTTGGGTCATCCACAAGCTCTCCGGATGATCACCAAGCTCTCCAATCACCACCAAGCCGTCTAGGTGATGGCGATCACCAAGAGTAACAAGCACGAACTCTCACTTGACCACGACAAGCCTAGAGAGAAGGGTGGATGGACACTTTGCTACTCTTGATCTCACTAATGAGGGCTCTCTTTGGGATTCTCAAATCTCAATCACCTCACTAGGACCTTGCTCTTCTTGGCACTCTCTAAGGTGTGTTTCAGCTGTTGAAATGAGCAAAAGTAGTTCCACACATGAGTGGAGCTTCTATTTATAAGACAGCCTGAAAAACGAACCGTTATGTGCCTCTACGGGCTGACCGGACGCTCCGATCATATTGACCGGACGCTCCGGTCAGTTCAACCCGCACACCAGTGTTTAAGTGTTGACCGGACGCTGGCAGGGTCCGGTCACCACTGACCGGACGCGTCCGGTCCTATTTTTCCCTCACTGGATGCTTACTGTACTCGACCGGACGCTGGTCCTCAGGGTCCGGTCAGAATTGACTAGACGCGTCCGGTCGTAGATTCACTCTTCTTGAACCTTACTGGAGTCGACCGGACGCTAGTCCTCAGTGTCCGGTCACTCGACCACTCAGCGTCCGGTCGCACCAGACGCAATCTACTTGGTCAAATGAACTGACCGGACCCTACGGCCAGCGTCCGGTCGCACCGGAGCCAGCGTCCGGTCAGTATTTGACCCTCCATTCACTTCCAACTTTCGATCATACGTGAATGAAGTTTGCTCCAAAGGATCTAAGGGCTTTGTTGGAGCTACCTAGTGCTAGACTTAGCAAGTGTGCACCACACCTAACTCACTAGACTCACCTAGGTCAAGCTACCCATCCATACCCCCTTAATAGTACGGCCAAAGGAAAAACAAAGTCCTAAACTACTCTAAGTGTCTCTCCAACTCCAATCAATACTTAGAACTAGTCATCCTTAACCTTGTCGTCCATCCTTTGAAAACCGAAATGATTTTCATCGTAGGGGCATGACATCCATGATTGCCTAATCGATCTCCATTACCATGACCTAACTTAATTGCCTCTACAAAACATATGTTAGTCATAGTAATCTTGTATTGTCATTAATCACCGAAACCCAACAAGGGGCCTAGATGCTTTCAATCTCCCCCTTTTTGATGATTGATGACAATACCACCTCGAGTATGAGAAAGAGTTGAGGTTTTTATCATGCTTGGATCATATAAGCTTTTGTCAATAAGAACAAAAGAGTTAGGCAAGCTTGTATGACCCAAGCCAACATAATGTACTCAAAAGATATTAAATAAGCATGAGTACACGTAATAAAGCTCATTTGCATCGGAGTATAAACACGGAAGCAAGGCAAATGAGCATAACACAAGTGATATGACATATAAATAGTTATGAAGTAGAGAGCACATATGTCATATATCACAATCACGTAGATATCGCTATCACATAGATATAGTTTAATGCATGAAGGTAAACACACGAATGCATAATAGTAATAGTGTATCACACAAATAGAAACTCCAAATGTAATAGATAAAAAGCTAATAGATAAC